TCCCCCGGCAGTGCTTTTGGTCTCTGCCTTGCTAATATTTGTTTTAGGAGGTCTGATGAGTCAAGCTGCTCAGGATGAAAGTCCACAGCCTGCTGGCAATGTGAGTGAGAACATGGAGCGTGTCCTAGCAGAGGATGCCAGGAGTGCAGGGTGCACCTCAGCTGAGCTAATGGGACCACGAGCCAGCAGCAATGACTTGGGGCTTACTGCTGTAAGCCCAGGCAAGAAAAACTAAGGCAGCCATTTTCCTGCAGTGTGCTCCAAAACTGTCTGCGGCATCGTTGCCGTGATAGTTAACCAAAATGAAAATTGACAATCTTTTTTTCCCCAGTTGTAGTCTAAATCTAGACTAGATCTGTTTTCAGAAGCATTCTAATTTAGGCTTACACTTTAGTAAATCCTTAAAATTAACGATTTGCTATCTGTCGGCCTCCAAGACAAATATCGGTTTTCAGCAGAACCAAGAAGAGCTGAAAACTCAGGCGAAGCTATCCATCCCAGGTGAGGTCCACAGCGGGAATTGTGACCCATCAGAATGCCAAGGAACTTGAGTCCAGCTTTGCAACTTCCTGCACATAAAGCCTGCATGTTCCTTCAAGACTTACATTCTTCATGCAAGTAAGACAGAAAAATGAAATCTATTCAACAGGGAAAGCAGTCTTTCACAAAGAGAAAATCCACATTTTTTCCTCATCTCTATCTTCCTTGCTCAGATTTGTCTTTTTTATGCGTCAAGAAAGATTAAATTCCAAATTTGCAAGAATTAACATCAAATTGCTGCATTACAGAGGACCACAGTCACTACAGAGGATGAACAGCATAGTCCACCAGGGCAGCTGTGGCTTTATATCAGCTAAAGCGGTCACCATTTGTTTTTCTTTATCTTGAAATTGATGGGTTTGCTTTTAAAGTTCAAAAGTATTAAAATGGGATCAGACCCTTCAGTGGAAATAAAACAACAAAATCCAAGTCTCTTGGTTTGTTTAGAAAGGCCAACCTTCTTCCAAAACACTCCTAATTTTAATTGATTTATATGCTAGACAAACAGTTAAAAAAGAAAAAGGAAGAGACTCCCAGCCATTTTTCCACCCAGTAAGACCCACTGGGCAAACAAACTCATATTCATTATTTACCTTGGGGCAGGGCCCCGACTCCTTAACCGGGTTAAGGGCCCCATTGTGTTAATCTTTACATTAGTCCAGTGCAACATGCCTCATAATTAAACAAAGTAATGTCAATCCCTCTTTAGTAAGGGGGCTGGGACAAATGACACCAACCCCCTCCTCCCTACACAGGCACTGTGGTATAATCTGCCACCGCCTATAAATGCAGCCATTCGTCTTTTCTTTAGATGCATTGCAGGAGTATTTCCATATAAGCCTTATTATAATAAAAACGACAGTGTGACAAACAGCTTTGCAAATAGGTCTGCTGCTCCAACAAAGCACAGACACAACACGCTGATTTGCAGCAATACCCCACAAAATTCAGAAGTGCTACTAGTTGATTTGAAATCCAGTAAATTTAGGTGGTTGCTTTATCTTCTTCATCACGATACCTATTTCCTTGACAAAGCTGAAGAAGTAGAACATGTGCTCAATGCCTGCAACTGTTCCCCCAATCCTTTCCTTCTCCTCCCCTCCAATTTACATTGATTACAGGTTTCAAAGTCTTAGAGATTCATTTTTAAGTTCTGTTTAAAATGCTGATTTTTACTTGTTTTCTTTTCATCCAGATCAATAATACTCAGACGATAAATATGTACCATTTACCATTTATACTTTTTCATCTTATTGAATATTCTACAGCAAGCCTAAGAAAAATCAGTTCCTGGATAGCACTTACATTTCCCCTCTCTAGCCTATTCCCTGTTTTATCTATAACACAATACATGAGCCTGAGTGTGTTCTATTAACGCAGACACCCGTTATAACATTCAGACATTAAGTGCAGCAGAAAGGAGCTGCATCTTAAAACGTTCACTGCTCATTAAAAAGTTTGTCTAATTTTATGATGACAGTTCAGCGCATACATTATTCTCTGCGAAACAGTGCCCCAGTGTTAAGACATCAACCACATCAGTTTTCTATTCAGTCTTCACCGAGAGATGAGAAGCCACCATTTTCTTTTTGATACATGCAAACTAAATTGTTTGTCTCTACAGAAAGTGTAAACCACAGAGAATTCTGCATTTCAGTGGCGATACTGTCACCTAGCATTAAAAACAAGTATTAATTTGTAAATCAACCTCCTCAATCGTGTTCAAAGGAAGTAATTAAGCATTTAATGTACTAACAAACCAGCACAAATATTAGTTCTGTTTCCAAGGTATCTCGCAACTATATAAAAAATTCCCCTCACGCTGATGATCTGCATCAGAACAGACTCTTCTACACCATTTGCAATAGATGCAGGCTTACCAGACTTGCACAAGGTACACAATTTATACTGCTTCAAATTTAGCAACACATAAATAGCTGCTTACACATATCGGGGACTATTAGACTTGATTTTACTTTCTAGAGCATTAAAAAAACAACAGCGTCTTGCCAGTATCCTGCTTATGAAATGCTACAAATTCTTTAACAGTCATGCAGTATATTCAGCATTTAAAAAAAAGAAGCTCAAAATAATTTTTCTAGCAAGAGTATTTAGGAATGCCTTACCTCATTAAAATAAAGTTTTAAACAATGTCTACATTTAACTTACATAATGCACTGGGTTTGCTGTAATTATCTAGTAATTCCAACTATTCAGTAATACAGGAGTCTTAAAGCACAGCTTAGAAACGGGAAGATTTGTATTTTCCAGCAACCCTGTGAAACTCTGGTGAAGTTAGTTCATTGCACTGACAAGAAAAGAAACCTCAAAACCAGTCAGGCAAAGTAGTTTAGTAGCTGTATACGGGGCTTTCTTTCGCTTGAGGCTTTAATAATTTCCACAGGCACAATTTCACAAATCATCTTTCAAACTCTGAATAGCCATGTTGCGATAAGAACTAAAGCTGCCAGAGTCGTGGCTCTCCAGTAATGCACAAAAATCCCGATATACTGGGTGGCGACTGAAAGATACATTAATTAACTTTGTTTTCCTGGTTTTAAAAAGGTCAAGTGGGATGCTGACTGCCAGTCAACCACTTTGTTTCAGGCATTTTTATTAGACAAAAGGCTTACAGTTAGCACTGCATTGTGCCCCACCCAGCTGGCTGAGAATTGTCATCTTCTCACTCCATTAGGCTGTAGGGCTGTATCACTATTTCCTAATTAAGCATTCCTTCCGATACATGTGTCTACCTTATAAACACACTCTGTTCTTTCCCTCCCCTCCTAAATAATCTTTTGGCAGGTCAGGCACGAGGGAAAAAAACCAAAACAAAATAAACCCAGAACAAACCCATGAATGAAACAAGGAACAGGATAGTACTGACCTTTTCTTGTAATAACGTTTTGCATCTCTCCCTCCCTTGCTGGTTTCTTAAACTAGGAAACCACTTATTTAAAAATTAATTACCCGAAGGAAAAAAACCCAACCCTTCTTCAAAGCACACACTCCTCCCCAAAACCAGGCAAGCCTATATTGGCAGCTTTTTATTCTAAATATATTTCAAGAATGAGGATTTTTCCATGTACATATCCTACATCAACTTCATTCCATCTGCATATGACCTATCAAATGCAATGGGTAAAATAAGATGAAGTAAATAGTACTCTTTTCTCTCCTTGCACCATGCATATATATTGACACTACACAAATGCACAGTATGTGAAAAGAATGTTAAAAACTTTATGCTTGTGAAATCCAGGGTATGAGATTTTCAATAAACACATGAATTTAACCATTCATAAAAACAGTAAATGACAAGTTTATCATGAAAGAATGTCACATTTACTTAACCCCTATTTATGTGATTTGAGGCAGCCATACCTTATCATGAAATACCAAGTACACACTGTGAGAGAATATTGAAGACACTGCTAGAGTACAGAAAACCATTTCTGTTTTCAAAACAATTCAAAGTAATATAACATTCTCCCAGGTTTATGTACTCTTGGTTTAACTAAACCTCTCATCTATCTTTTAAAATGCAAGCCTCTCTAACAGCGGTCAACAAAAATATTATGCTAATACAAGTAAAAATGGAGCATCTCTTAGCTTGATGGATGAAAAGGGAAATAGTCAGGTAGGACAGTTTTCATGAGAAGGCCCAATTCTTCCCTGCCTTCTATTTCTAAAACTGATCTTATGAGCACCTGTTATTTTTCCTCTCCACAGCATCTTTTAAAAACCGCTCTTACATAGCCAGCCAGCCATCATGCCTATATGCAGTAGCAAGAGTTTTCAGAAATGTGGACTTCTTTTCAAGGTAAAATGCAGGCATATTGTGAAGAAACCTTACTTCTTGAACTAATATTTCTCAGGACGTATTTGACAGAGTCTATTAACCCACAATTACTTAACCTGTGGTGAAATGCAGCCAACTCTTCCCTTCTGAACGTGCATTTAATACATCGATGTCTCATGCTGGTAAGACAGTTTTCATTCTTATTACATTAAAAATGCTATTTCCGCATTAAATAAGCTGAATTCTTTGCCATACCTTACTTTTGCTTTTCAGTTTTCATCTGTTCCTTGACTGTTGAGTGGTATTAATGGAATCCTTGGGGTACCTACCTTCCAACACTTTAATGGTTCAAGCAAGGCCATAACATTGCCACAAATTATTTGAAATACATCTCATTCTTTAACAGGGGATAGATGCTGATAATGCAAGCACTGGAAACACAGGTAAATTCTTTCCTAGTTACTTTTGTTTTTTTGGTATGAAATGCAGAGCCTTTCAGATATTACCCATGATGCCCCAGAACCAAAAACATCTGCAATATGCTACGTTCCCCGTTTGTCGCAATCAACCCACCTATTTAAAGCGGGGGGAAGAGACCATTAATTTACTAAAATACACACACACACACAAAATTCACAGAAAGATCTCTTGTACTTACATGTTGCACTGAGCCGCATGCAGGAAGGTAGCTGTGTCAGTGCCAGCCACGTTGAAGACCTGCAAGACCCAGGTATTTGTGAAGATGTTATTTGATGGCTTTGTGACTTTCAGCCGTAAAATATCCCCCGCTTCCCTAGAGCCACCTACAATTTTGCTAATGATGTTCTAATTTTAAACCTGGTGTGTGAGAGACGGGGTAAGGAGAAACGTTCTAGGTATTTTAACCTCTTGATGCTACAGCTGTAATGCAAGAATGTTTAAGAAACACCTGAAATGCCCCTTCATGAGTAACTATTTCTTTCCTGCTGAAGCAGAAAGGGGCGGGGGGGGTGGTTGGGGGAAGCAAGCCCTTGAGCCATGCAGTTCACACCTTCAGAGGTAAGGACCCTGCTTGGTTAGGACAAACGGTAGGACACACAAGGTGACATTTGGAATCAAGGTCTCCTTCTCAAACACTTTTTCCCCTCTTCTCTCTCCAAGTAGGTCACTCCTCCCAGCTGATTTTGTGTAATTGGTCTAGTTTGTTAAAAAGCAAAAAGAACCCGTTCTGCAGCATATGCTACCAGGAGAGCTAGTGCCCTACTGCGGAGGGAGACAGCTTGCTAAAAGCCATTATTGTGAAAAGGCACCATCACCCACTATGGTCATTTTAAACTCGTTTCAGGTTGTGGCAACGTGGATTTCTCAAAACCACGTCAGTAGAAAAGCAGCACAGCAAAGGCGTTTCCTGGTGGCTCCCTGCTAATGACTGCACCGAGCCACAGCCCGGTCACCAAACCACGACTGCACGAGGGCAGCCGAGCTCTCCACATCCCAAACACGCAGCACTTAAGCTTTACCTCGGCATCCCCCCTCCCGGGTGACAGCGAGATGTGCCGTGTCGGTGCGGAAGCCTGATTGCGCAGTCCCTAGGAAGAGGTGGGTACTCTGGGGCGCTCCCTTGCCCGGGGAACAGGCGGCACCACTGTTCTGGAACCTTCCTGCGCATGCCAGCCCAGTGCCCGCATCCCAAAATCTGCCTGGCAAAAGCTCGCTCCTGGAAAGCGGCTGCTCTTCCCGACACACCAGCAATCAGAAGAGGGCTTTTTCATAGACTGTATTTCCCAGCGAAAGCTTAAAGTAATTAATCACGCTTTTGCTTGCTCCTTATGGGGCACGTAGTGGCTAGAATGTGATACCCGTTAAGTTTGGAGGGATTTTAACTAAAAAACCGCACAAAACCCAAAACCCAACTGAGACCAGAAACACGCCCCGACAACGGAGGTACAGCAGTACCCTTTTCCCCGCAGCTGCTCTCAGGGACGCGTGTCCTGCAACCCCCAGTGGCACGGCCCCGGCTGCGCCGCGCCCGCGGCAGGCTCCGCATCGCCCGCACCGCCCCGCAGCTGGCCGAGGCAGGGCCACTCGCGGCTCCTCCGCGCCAGCCCACGCAGCGGTGCGGGTAGGGCAGGTCGCCAAGGCGAGCCCCCCACGCGAAGCATCCTCACCGGGCGGCGGCGCGGCAGCCCGGCCCCGGGATCGGGGTTTTGTTAATGCCGCTTCCCAGCTTAAGGAGTTCTAGAAACTTTCCGGGAAGCGCCCGGGGCGAGCCAGGACTGTGCCCGCGGGCTGCCGTAGTGCAGGTGCCCGGCTCCGGCCGAGCATCCCCCCGCAACGGCACCGCGACCCTGGGGCGGGCAGGACGAGAGGCTCCGCTCCGCATCTCGGCGGGTCGGACCGCTGGGGGTCCGCGGGGCTGCACCCACGGGCGCGGCGGAGCCGCGGGGCTGTACCGCTGCCCCCCCGAAGTCCGTAGCCCCGCCGCCGCCCACGCCCCCGGCCCCCCGAGCCCCGCAACAGGTACGACCGGGGCGAGCCCCCGCGGCCGCCGCCCCCCGGCACTTTCCCACGGCGGCGGCGGCGGCGCCGCTCCCCCGCCCCCCACGGGGAGGGGATGGGATGGGGGGGCCGGAGCCCCGCGCCCGCCGCCCGCGCACTCACCCCGCAGCAGCCCCGGCTCGGCACGGCTCGCCCACCTGCCGGGGCCCGGCCCGGCGCGGCGGCGGCAGCGGCGGCTCGCAGCCTCCCGTACTGCAGGAGGCAGGCAGGGGCGGGGGCGGCGGGGCCGTATATACCGGGCACCCCCGCCCCCGTTCGCGGGGAGGGGGGGGCCGGTCGGTGCGGGGGGGCGGTGCGGTGAGCGCGCGCGCGCGGCGACGGCGACGATCAGGTGACGGGGCAGCCCCCGACACTGCGGAGCCGGGCGGGACCCGCCGGGCGGCGGCCGCGGCGGGCGGCGGGGGGGCACCGCGCCACGCCGTGCCACGCCGCGGGCGGGACGTGCCGGGCTCTGGAATGCCGCGGGAAGGGGCCGGGGGCGGATCGGGAGCGGCTCCGTTCTGGAGCGCCGGGTCCCTGACACCCCTTCCCCATCCCCGTCCATCCCGAAGCGCGCCCGGCCGGCCGGGGACCCCGTGCAGCATCGGCCGGCCCGCACCGTCGGAGTGCTGCTCCCGCGGGGGCCCTGCCCTGCCCTGCCTCCCCCCGGGGGTCGGTACCGATCGCTGGGTAGCGCCGCCGCAGTGAGCTCCCCGGTGGCGAAGGTACCCGCGGCTCGGGCGAGCGGGGGGAGCAGAAGCCAGCGTGCCCAGGCCGATCCGAAGTGGGCAGAGGGTTGTGCGGGGGGGGGGGGCATGGCGGGAGGAGCCGCCCGTGTCCCCGCACCGCGCGCTCTGCTGGCGTGGGGACAGTGCCTGCGGTCCACGCCTATGGTGGGATGAGTTCCATTAAACGCACTGACCCCGGGGTTTTCTTATTGAAAACGCAGGATCGAGAAAGCTGCACGTTCTCATTGAAAGGACCTGTCAGCTTGCAGTAAGGGTGAGCTGACAGCTCGCTTTTACTGCGTGATGCTGGTGAACCCCCGCTTCTGGAGATGAGTGTTTGGTGCAGCCTTCTGCGGGGGAACACCCGCCCTGCCATGGTCCTTGTCTCCTGCCTGCTGCCCACGCCGAGCGCTGGAGCAGCAGACTTGGCTGGCACGTGACTCCCACTGCTCCCCACCTCTGAAGTCTGGTGCCGGGGAACACTGAGTTACTGAATTCAGGCTCCTGACCCCTCTTCTGGGCAACGGGGCTGCTGCTCTCCAACGTGGCATCTCACTACCCCCACCCCTCTGGAGAATATACCCGCACATTTCACCTTGCTGTGTCTGTTCCTGCATCCCGATTTTGTGTCAAACGAGACTTTTGGACGGAGGAGAGCTGGCGCGAACTTGTGGGAGCACCCACCTACCCTCATCAGCAGGGCACTGAAGTGCAGACAAGGGCTCAGCAAGCAGCTGCGGGCTGAGCGACACGTTCACAACCCTCTGCTTCCAGGGGAAATTTTGTATGTAAAGCAGAAAAAACCCCAAGACTCCCAAACTGCACTCCCCCCTCCAAAAAAACCCTAATCACCAAACCCATCCTAACACTCTGCTCTGTTTGCCAGACCAGGCAGTAGACACTCCTACCCTGCTTGTCCTAGGGTTTTTTTTGTTCCACTGATGCCGAGGGGCAGGGGACAAGTCCTGAGTGAACCCCCAGCTCTGCAGTTACCTGTTCCATTCCCAGTGTTCCAGACCTGTAGCTGCCCCACTTCTCTGGTTCCTCTTGCCTGTCTGCACCACACGGCAGGGCTGCCCTGGGCAGGCACACCGCAGCCCCTCTGCTGCCATTTCCTTGTCTGCAATTACTATTAGCTGTGGAGCTTTATGTGCTCCCCATCTTTGCAGAGCTTGATTGTCATGTTGCTCTTCCCTGCAAATGGCCCGTTTTTAGGGATTCTTGTGGAGGGAAGTACACTGGTGCAGAGGTGCCACTCCTGTATAGGGTTATGTCCTCCTTGGGATTAGGGCCCTTTTGGTGGCATGAAATATGTCTAGACTGATGTGTATTCTTCAGATCAAATCCTTCGATCAAAATGTGTCTATTTCCATGGATGTTTTAAATTTTTGTGGAAATATTTTTCTAATGTTTATATTTTATTAATTTAATTGTTGCAACCTTTACTCATTTGTGTAGTCTCTGACAGAGAGGAAGCAGAGGTGTATGCTGGGTTGCACCTTTTTCCCCTGATGGAATAGGTACCCTTCACATTAGTCTATTAGCATCTTTTTCTCCCAGAAAACTCTTGAAGCTTTAACCTTGCAGCTTCTTGCCATGTAATCAAAAAGCTGTGTTTTTCCAGCTAGAAATTTCTCATAGGAACTTGTCTCTCTGACATGATCCACTTACTGTTTTTTCCTTGTCAAGTGCAGGCTTGTTTTTCAATAAAAATAAAAGCAAAGAGCTAATTCTGAAATCCTTAGTCAGACAAAGCTTGCACTGAAATCAAGGGGAGTCTTGTCTTGGTGTAAAGATTGCAGGTTGAGGATCAAAATCATTATAATAAAACCTTGTCGCAGGAGCAACATCTCCCACTTCAAAAATAAACATCTTTGCTCCAGTTAGCTATTTATGTAGCTGCAGGAGACTATTGATTTAGGAAAGCTTTCTGGTGCACAGATGCTCTAAACCCTTAGCACTACTAAGAAGCAGCAAAGCTCGGGAGGAGCAGATTACAAAAGAAGTATAATATAAAACTCTGCTTTGCTCTCCTAGCAGTATTCAGGTTAAGCCTCTGGTTCACCTTCACCTGAAACACATCTTTTCCTTTGACACATCTTTGCCTTATCCCATGCTCACATGTTCTCAGCCAGGCTGCACAGCCATTAGAATTAAACATTCGCCCGTGGTGGGGACATGGGGCTTCGGAGCCTGGCAACGGCACTGAAGAACAAGGGCTGCATCCCTGCTTGAGTGTGATGCACCTGTAGCTTCTCCCTCCTTGCTTAAGAGACTCTTACAAGAGGGACTACAGAAGTTTTGGTAATTGTTCCAAAATAAGAACCTATCTACTAATCCATCAGTAGCACAGATCAAGAGGCGGGGCAGGCAGAGAGAGGTGGAAAACATGCACAAACAGCCTGAGTCAAACAGAGAATTTGTCATCATATTTGTATAAATTTCCCAAATTTCTGTAGTAATGTAATCATCCCATTATACTTACGGTAGGAGAATACTTTCAGAGTTACTTTTGAATACATTTGTGTACATTTGTGTACATTACATTACACAAAACAGAAAATGGAAAGTCTTTAAACAGTGCTACGAAGTGTTTCCAAAGAGTCTGCCTCTAATGCCAATGAATAACAAAGCTGCAAATAGCAGAGGGAATTGATTACTTTTGAGTCTTGCAACTTACAGTATATAAAACTGCTTGTAAGGTACATTTCTAGGAATTAGACTGGTGACTTAAGTGGGAAAAGAGTTGGGCTGAAAACCTGCTAAACTTATTTTTGTGGGAGAAGATAGAGTCTTTCTCACTGCTTCTGCCATAGACTTTTCCTCACCAGGTGTGTAAAGAATTAAGTGCTTTGTTGAGTAATGGCCACCAGGAACCAGCCTGTTTGGCCCCACCCCAGAAGACATTGCTACTCTAACAAGAAATAGATAAACTTGAGTCTACAAGCAAATTTTTTTCTCAAGGGAAGGCAAGTATGGTATTTCCGCACTAATGCAAACAGATGTTAACATAAAAGAAGCTGAAACAACAAATCACTCATAGAAAATCTAAGTTGCTCGGCCTTTAATCTATTTAACATAAATAACTTCCATAACTACAGTGAATAGGGCAGTTGATCAGAAGTCCTAGTATGGAGGCTTGGAAGTCATGGTATGAAATCTATTCATCTTACATCCCACGTCTCAAAAAATGGCAATATCCGTGTCTGATGTTTTGAGAAATGCCAATACCACATAGTTCCCTTTAGTGGCCTGTTCATGTAGATCCCAACTCTCTGCTGGAGTGAAAATACTATTTTGGCGTAGTTGGAGGACACAAAAGTAAGTTGCATGCACTGGATCTGTACATCATCATTTAACATCCTTTTAGGGGCAGGCAGATGTGGTAGTTCAGCCATCAGGCAACCCTCATGACAAGTTCAGAGCTGCCTTCTGATTACCCAGACACTTCAAGCTCCTCTCCAAAAAGCAGCAGGTGAACCCTGATTTATTTGCAGTATGCGAGATCAGGGTAGGTGCTGTATTACCCCTGTCAGAAGCTGGCGAACCCCATTTACCCATTATAGTCCTGTGGACTCTTGTCTCTGAGCAGCAGAGCTTGACTTGAAAAGCCTTACAAAGACAAAGGGTGAGCTTGTGGTTTTGTTGGGGACACACTTTGTAGATTTGGTTTTATTCTTGCCCTGAGCTGTGGGTACCATTGCCTTGCTCTCCTGTCAGCTGCCAACCCTTTTCCCTGCAATAGAGGGATAATATTGCCTTGCTCTGCCATGTCTACTTAGGACCTAGACACCAGTGACCACAAAATAATCATACACAAAATGGGGCCCTGAACTGAGAGATCAAGGCACAGCAAAAATGATTTGCCCATCTAGTACCCACATGGAGCCACATGCTTGCAGTAATAGCACTGCTAAAAGCAGCAGACTGCAGCTCAGACCTTCAGAGGCTTGCCAGTGTCCCGTGGAGCTTAGGGGAAAGACAGCCCTCTGCTTCCCTCCCTCTGCTCTGGAAAGGACTTTTTTGGGACCCTCTTACAGCACATGTGGGCCCGGCAGCTCTCTATGGGACAAGACGTAGGAAACCCTGTGAGAGATTTCTGCATATGGCTACAAAGCTGCAGAGTGGCCCAGGGGACATTCCTTGCCATGTCCTTAGTCCTCCATCATGGAATGATGGAGCTGGGCTATAGCAGACGACCTAAAAATATTAATATGTTATTACTGTAGGATGTCTGAGTTGAATTGACTGAATCTAAGGGGTTGATGCTCATCATTTCCAATGGACTTGCCAATTCATTTAACATCACAGTTGCCACCATCACCTTGTAACCTTTCAACCTTGTAAAACTTTGGTTTAACACATAGACTGCTTCTTATGCTTTCCCATATAGTTTCACATGCAATGTTTGTAAGAGTCCTTTGTATGCCACCTGCCCTCCAAAATGCAAATCCCCCACTTAAAATGAGAGCAGTGGACAGCCTGCAGACTACAGGTGACATAAACCGGAGTTCAAGAGCTCATGATATCATAAAATGGAGCACAAGCTGCAATGTTTGCATTTAAATTGAGCTCTCTGAACAAATGCTTTGGAATTGTTCATAAACAAGGGGTTCCAGTAAAAATGTGACTAATGCCATTAGTCATCAGAAGTGGACCTTCCGCATTGCTACAGCCACCAGTGGCAGAGTTCCTGTTACCTTCAGCAGGAGTAGGTTATGTTTCTAGGAGATTTACTGCCCTTACCTAGCATGTCAAAACCGTCAAGGTCCACAGTATGGGAAATGTAATGCTTAATAGCAGAAGAAACGACTGTTTTGGAACATGAGGAAACTGATGTGAAAGGGGCAATAAAAGACTGCATTAAATGATGATGCCTCTTTTGAAAGGAAATTCACAGGCATCTGGGGCCATTACCTTTCATATCCCAGCAATCAGGAAATTAACCTTTAACCCTTCTCTGTTGACCTCCTCTCCTTTCTCTTTTTGTCATTTGTTCTTTTTTCCTAATGACTGAAAAAGATAGAAACAGTCTATGATTTATGCTTCCAAAGGCTACAATCTGTCTCCTCCCTACACCTTCCCAAGCGCTTCAATGTCTGTGTTCACTCAGCTCTAGAAAGAGTCAAAGCTTCACTCAGATTTACTTCCATTTCATACTTACTAGCACCTGAATGGTTTATGCTTCATTTATTTCAAAACCCGTGTTACCTAATTACCCCTGACCTCGGAATAAATATTACTCCCATCTTTGCTGTCACCTGGAGGCAGGCAAAGCACTGGAGATGTTGGGAGCCCTCTGCTTCAAGGAGAGGCTGGACCCTTTGCACTTGCACAGGGTGATGCTGCACAGGGAGGACATAGAAATGCACCACA